GCCCACACCCTTTTCTGTCTCCTTAGTTCGGACTGATAGAGGGGAATGTTGGCCTTGACCCTCCACCCCCCCCCCCCCCCCCCAGGGACCAAGAGAGCCCTGCTATAGAAGAGGGTCTCTAAGGGGGGGTGGGAACAGGAAGCTAAGAACAGGAGAGCCTGGGCACCCCAGATGCATCCTGGAGAGGGGTGAGGATCGGACCAGGGTGGCGGCAGGGAGTGGAGGGGGAGGAGGAGGTGGGAGTTAGCAGGGCTGGTATGTTCACGGGGCACAGGTGAGGTCAGGGGTACTGAGGCCGAGGGACACAGCAGGGCACCCAGGAGACAGCCAGCCGCTCTGGCCAGCAGGACAACACCGGGTTTAGTTATCGGCATGGAGGCCAGGCCTGGGGGTCAGGAGTGAGGCGGGCAGGGGAGGAAGGAGTCGGTGTGCTTTCCTTCTGGTTCCTGGGGCCTTGTGTTGGCCGCCTCCTCCCTCCTGGCCGGGCCCCTCCCCCATGCCACCTGCACAGGCCGCCTCTTCCACGCAGCACAGCCACGGGTCAGCTCTTCCCAGAGGCCTCTGCGCGTTCCAGGGGTCTGCTGAGGAGTCCCCTGGGTCCTGCACCCCGGCAGAGGGGCTCTGCCCTTGTGGCACCGTCATCCACAGACCCTGCACCTGCCACAGTGGGTTGAGGGGCTGGTCATGGGGCTGAGACAGGGACTCCATCCAGTGGGAAATTCGGGGGCTCATGCCTGGGGTCAGCCCAGAGCCCACCTCTTACTGAGGAGTGGGTGGGAGACCCCTGGGGGCAGGGTGCCGACTCACTTGCAGGAGGGGTGGGGAGAACTTGTGGGGGCCAGGAAGGGGGTGGTTGAACCCGGGCGTGGTTTGCAGGAGGTGGTGGGGTTTTCTTTCCTCTGTACCCGCCCAGGTGTTCTGTGTGCCCAGGACTGGGGCAGTGGCCTGGGGTTGGCCATTGCTGCAGGCTCCCTTGCGTGCGCTTTCTTCCATCTCTGTCACCGGTTGCCAAGAAGTGGGGTGGGGTTGGTGGAAGCTGAGCTCCCTCACCGCCCAGGCTGCCCGCTTCCGCCCGGGTTTTTCAGTCTCTTCTGTGTGCACAGAACCCGGCTCCGTGAGCAGCGAGCCCTTGGGTGGGTGTGGGGCTGAGCCATGCACCTGCTCATCCTCACAGCCGTCACGCGCCTCGGGGAGCCGAGCGTCTCCATCCCCGTGTCAGGCTCTTCTTCCTCTTCTGCGTGTGGCCGCCTGGGATCGAGGGGCGAATGCTGAGGGCGGGACCCTTTGGTCAGGAAAGTGAAGGACTGGCTTGGGTCTGTGTGGACAAGCACCTGCCGCCGTGAAGTCGCCGCTCCGAGGAGCGGGGTTCAGGGCAGCCCATTTGGAATCTGTGCCGGGGGCTGGGCTGGCCTTGGATTCAGCAGGTCACAGAACTGGGACGGGAAAGGGGTCTTTTCCTCCCTGCAAAGGGCTTGTGGCCCCTGGCAGAGGCTGCTCACTGGGGGCCAGCCCAGGGAGGTGTCCTCATCGCCTTCTGATGAGAGCCACGTGGTCCTCCTCTGCCTCCCCTCCCCCACAACCCTGTCCCCTCCCCTCCCCTCCTTTCTGCCCGATGCTTCCTTTTCTCTACTTCTCTCTTTAGAAAAGTGTTTTTCTTCATTTTTCATTTTGATTGAAAGGCAGATACACACACACACAGATCTTCCATCTGCTGGTTCACTTCCCGCCTGCTGCCTCCCAGGGTGTGCATCAGCAGGAAGCTGGATTAGAAGAGGAGCCAGGACTCTAACCAGGCACTCTGATACGGGATGCTGGCGTCCCAAGTGCCAAACCCTGCCCCTCTCTCTTCCTGTCTCCTCATCCTCCTGTGTGATGTTTGCCAACACCCCCTCCCTGCCCTCTCCAAGAGGGACCTGTCAAGTCCCGCCCACTATCAGGAGCAGCCTCTGCCCTCCTCCCCCCTGGCTGGGCAGGAGAGGTTGGTGCTGGGCTCTGGGGCTTTGCCACCTCTCCGTGGGCTGACCTTGGGGTCCCTGAGCTTCCCTGGGAGCTGGGCCCGCCCCTGCCTTCCCCCGCATTGTGTTTTGTTGTTTTCAATTCCGTGCATGGTTCTGATACAGAAAACAAATTAAAAGGGAGCGGTTTTGGTTGTACTGGGTTGGGAAGGACCTTGTGTGCCGTGGTGACGGGGCAAGCAGGGGGTGATGGCAGCCTGGTGGTGGCATGGGATGGGGAGGAGGGGACGGCATTCAGTCCTGGGCTCTCTTAGGGCCCCCTGTAGAGTGGAGCCGTGGGGTTGGCTGGAGACACTGTGCCGTGGCCTTGAACAAGACGTTCCTGGCTGGCTGTTGGCCCTGTTCCTGCTGTCCTGCCCTCTGGAGTCACCACCCCAGGCAGTGGTGCTCCCATGGCTGGGGTCTCTGTATCACAGCCGGGCCCCCGTTTGGCTGGCTGGGTGTCCTGGGTGGTGGATTGTCCTCCGTGTCCGCGGGAGAGAGCAGTGCTCTAGGCACCGTTTTCTGGGCTTCCCGCTTGCTCCTGGTGGCCTGAGCTTCCCCACCCGTGCCTGGGGACACGCCACAGGACGTCAGGACAGAAGCACCAGGTCCCCAGCTGTTCCCACGGATCCCTCCCAGAACGGTCCTGCATCCAGGTGGTCGAGCCAGAGTTGTCCTCTGGCCAGACTTCCTCACCGTGTGCATGGGGCTGCCAGGGGCTGCATGTCTGCTGGAGGGGAGAAACAGCTCGCCCTGGCACAGTCGTCAGAAGTCCACCTGACATGCACCAGTGGCAGGCATCACTAATCGATCACAGCTCTCCTCCCGCCAAGTGCAGACGAAGGCTCAGTCTTCCTGCGGCTGTAGCAAGTGCGCAGGAGCTGGCGCTCAGACACCACCTGCATGCATGCATGCACGCATGCATTCACTCGGGTTTGCATGCATCTAGCGCAGCATTTGCTGAGGTACTGTTGGGAACCACCACACGCTGCCCCCTGTAGGGGCAAGAGGACACACCTGCCTTTGAGGCGCTCACGGGGTGCAGGCTTGTGCGGACAGCCGAGAGCTGCCAGTCGGACAGCAGAGCTTAGGGCTCTGTTCCCTGGGAGCCTGGGGAGTCATGGCGGAATTGCGGGGGAGGGGGTGTCACAAAGGGGCCCTCTGTGCTGGTGGGATTGAGCCAGTGCTCCCTGCTGTGTTCCCTGTGCCTGATGCCACCTCCGCCAGTCACCCACCACAGCCTGGCCTCACCCGTGCCTTCTCTCCCGCAGGAGCAGGGGCTGAAGGCCAACAGCTCCAAAGAGTTGAGCATGTGCTTCACGGAGGTGAGTGAGGGGCGCAGTGGGCGTGGGTGTGGGACAGGGCCCCAGGGGGCTGTGTCCCGGGTGAGTCTCCCACCCAGAGCCCCGGGGGCCCGCTGAGTGCCTGGCCCTGCCTGGATGGAGCGGGCGCTTGGTGCCGGGCAGGGGTGAGGGAAGCCACAGGCTGCCGCAGGTCCCACACATGCTGGCCCCTTTGGTGAGAGATGAGTGGCAGCTCCCATACCTTCCTTGCTTTTATTTTTTTTAAAACATTTATTTATTTGAAAGGCAGAGAGAGAGAGGAGGAGAGAGAGGTCTCCATCCGTTGGTTCACTCCCCAAATGGCTGCAACGGCTGGAGCTGAGCTCCATCCGAAGCCGGGAGCCAGGAGCTTGGAGCTTCTTCCGGGTCTCCATAGTGCAGCTCCAGCCTTCCGTAT